AGATCTCAAAAACATTACATGCAGTTCAAATATAGACTGTATCGTGTTGAACCACGTAATTCCAAAGCTTAAGTTGATTGATTTTAGTAAATTTAATCAATGTGGATATTTTTAACAAGAACCGTCATTCAAATATGTAATTTTGATCTAATTTTTTATTCTAAAAAGTATAAACTCATTATTATAAAATTAAATTACAAGTTTCATCTTAAAATTTTAAAGGTTAGGCCCTATTTTGTTGTATTTTAAAAAAATTCCTCATAAGTTTATTTGATCCTGTACTTTAAAAATATTTTAATAGGTCTTTGAATTATGGTTAACGGATATTTTATTTAGGTTAGTTTGATTTTGTAATTAGTGATGGAGAATTTTTTTTCTTTTTTTAGGGCGAGAATTGCATGCGTCATATGGCTTGGCCTTAACATGAAAGCCAAAGTAATTAAAAGGGTTTAATTTGGTTATGAATTTTAAGCCAATGCTTTACGCGAGAAAGACAAAGAATCCAGTTCATGTCTCACATTAATTATTTAAAAAGAAAAAGCCCTAATTAATTAATTAACTAACCCAAAAAGGCTTCCTTTTTGGCCATGTTGCTTCCACAGTTTCTCTCTCTTCCTTTCTCTCGCTCACTAAATCTTTTTTTTAAACCAAATAACAAAAAAAAAAAAAAAAACATAATAATGGAATCATACGTAATCCATGCAACAAAGTAATTGTACACCTAATTATGTGTAAAAAGGTACTAATAGATGATTACAATATCACCCTAAATATCTTCATTAAGAAAAAATAAGGTAAAAATTAAAATATGGTATTGGTTTAAGTTCAAATTATTTCGTGAGAAAAGTTGAGAGATTATATATAATCGTTTAAATTTTAGAAAGTGGAATAACATAAATATAAAGTTGGCTAGAATAATATTTAAAACCAAAACTAATTAAACTATGACTTCAAGAGTGCTATATTTAGATTAGTTTGATCCTCTTAATTTTCTAAGTTCCAATTTGAGGCTTGTTTTAGTTGTGTCGTGGGGTTTTAAAGGTTTTTTTTTAATACGAGGAGATTTAAACTTTCGATCTAAATAATAGTAATTGGTGTCTTGAGGCGTGCTCGAATTTGGTTGGTTTTAAAAAAATTAGTTTGGTCTCTACTGTTCTACCCATATTAGAGGACATATAACAACATGTTATGTGTCAGGAGAATGATTGCGTAAAGCTTGAAGTATCTCCTTCGACCTATAACCTACTCTTGAAATCTTACCAAAGAGTCTGATCAAAAGAGAGTTCATGGACCATATACTTTTAATGCTACGCAATCGCTTTATCTCCCCCACTTACCACAGCCCTCGAATAAACGTCGAAATTTTCGGGACATGCAGAGTGACATACATCGGTTCACATTCTTAAAAGTCTATAAATACTGTACTGTATCTTATTGCTCGGCATAATACCAAATAGTTTGCACGTTGAGACTGATTAACTTGATCTTCGGAATGCTCACCTCTGTTTTACAGACCGTCATTTTCTTCTTTACAAGCTGGATCTCAAGGAGGGATCAAAATTCAACTTAAACCGACAAAACATATGACATCTATTCAAAAGATAGATTACTAATGTTTTCTATTTGGTGGAATAAGTTAATTAGGTCGGTTGTACTAAGGTATTAAGGTTTAGGATGAGTAGATAAAATGAGTTAGCCATGTGGCAAAGCTAATTCCATTAAAAATAATAATGTCAAACTTTAATAAGTAATAATGATATGAGTTATAAACTATACAAAAGATATAATTGAATAAATAAGCATTAATTTTTTAGAACACAAGAATGTGGGTGATAAATCAATGGTGGCTTTTTGAGAGAATGTTGACTAAGCATCAAGGCCAAGATCTCGAAAGCAAGATAGGAAATTCCAAAAAAAAAGTGTAAATTAAAAGCTGTGGAGGGGAAGGGAGGGCCTATTCTGACATTGTACTAAAAACTCACACTTTCTATTATATTATTTATACATATTCTGATGTACATTTGTTTTACAAATTTACAAAAAATATTAAAAAAAAAAAAAAAAGTTCAACAGACATATGGAAGAATCACTCGTTCAATCGTACATCCTTAAATATTCATATTGCTGTGTTTAAATCTCTGTACAATTTTATTTTTTTTATGTTAAAGAATTTGTTATAATTTATTATTTTTCGTACGTACGAAAATTTGAAAATTTGACTTCAAAAGAAGAAGTAGATTTGATTTACTGTTGAGCTATACTCTTGTCGACAAACTTGTTTAATTTAGTCTTAGAATAGACAAGTATTTGAAGCTCGTGTCTTTAATTTTGAGTTTGGAGGAGGTTTGTTATCTTGATTTATTTGTCTATATTTTCATGTAGAGGTTGTTATAGATATTAGTCATAATTGGACCGTGATGAACTTTTGATATGTAAACGTACCTGATATATTTGATTGGGAGAGAAGATCAAAACTAGAGATCGGTCATAAAGCAACGATATAGCAGCTTGTGTGATCTAGGAAACAAAAAAAATATTTATTCTAATTCTATCATCAATGGTGAGTTTGAATCTAAGACAAAAAAAAAAAATTTAGAATGTTATTTTTACTTGAGTAGTAGGCAAAAAAAAGAAAATAATTTGACAAGGACGCTACTTGGAATATGATAGTCCATAGTTAAGTCATATAATTTTATTATACATCTTAAAAATTAATAATTTTTAAAGTTCAGATCATACATGAAGATATGAAAATTCGAATATATGATGTTTAGCGAAGTCATGAATGCCTTAACTAATTAATTGTTATATTTTGAAGGTATAGAGACTAAGAGTCCAACATGGAAGATTAGAATGAGTAAATTAATATAAATTATGAACTAAAGCTTTTTTATAAATGGAGTTTAGAAAGTAGAGTGGATGAGATTCCATGTTCCTCTAGGAAGGGAAGGGATAAAAATAGGGTGGGGGAAAGAGACAGGTTTGTCCTTTGGAGTTTCCATAGGCTTATTTTGCCTTATTTATTTATTTATTTATATTTCTTTATGTTTATTATTTTTTTTATCAAATAAAACCAAACAATTGGTTGACATGCTTTTCTGGGAATCCTTTTGGAAACTGGTGGAGAATCCGCTAACGTAAGCCTTTAACTACTTTTTTTTTTTTTTCTTTTTTAGCCTTTTATTCTTTTTTGTTTATTTATTTTTTAAATTTTAATTCAATTAACAGCTTGTTCAATTGTTTATTATGTTTGTAAACTGAATTGAATATTTGTCTGCTCATTCTTTTACATCTTTATTATCTTCAATAATTATATTACATCCATCGATAGAATGTAGATATAACATTCCGTTTATGAAATTTGAATGAAGTGATGCGATTTAGTAACTAATTGGAGGATTGATCAACTCGGTTGAGATTTAAAAATAAATAAATAAATATATATATATATATATATTATGTCCTAAGTGAATTATCATTTTATTTATTTCTATTTTGTCCAATTAATTATTGAATCATACTTTAAAAAAATTTGTTGAATCATGTCATTACACCTAAATTTCAAAAAATTTTAAGTTTCAAATCTATGTTATATATCAGTTGAAGTTAATGACCTAAACTAAAAATAAAAATAATTCAAAATACATGGATGTAGTTTTAAGTTTTTAAAATTTAAGGATTAAATAGATGTATTATTCAAAATATAGAGATGTCAACGTGAGTTTAGCTTTAGCAATAACTGACACATGTTTCTGACCAAAAGGTTGTAAGAATCTCGTGTAGTGATAAAAGCAATAATTGACACATGTCTCTGATCAGGAGGTTGTAAAAATCTCGTGTGATGATAAAAAATATCTTTTATTAAGGTATAAAATACCAATAAAAAAACAAAGTGATGTTATGCTCAAAAGAGAAAAAAAAAACAAAAAAGAAAAAGTGACAATGTTGAATCAAAATCAAAATGCACTTTATGATAAGTTTTGGATCACTCAATTCTCTTGAGTGGAATTACTTCTTCCCCAAGTAATTTTGGAGGAAACACTACACTTAATAGTGTTTATTAGTCTTTTCACACTTTCATAATTATTTTTAACTAAATATTAAAAAATTTTGAAACTTACTTTTAATGGCTAAAAATACTTTTCACCCAAATCTTTCCAAACTAACGGGTTATAATCTACTTACAATATAAATAGTGATACGATCCCTCTTAATTCAAAATAAATTAATAAATTGTACTTCGTTGTTGTTATTATTTTATAATGTAAAACAATAATTTCTATTTAAATTCAAATAACTTATGGATATTTCATTAATGGTGTCATGCGAATATTATTAAAATAATTTTGCTTAATTAATTATTCAAAATTTTAGAAAATGGTTAAATTATACCAAATAACCTTCAACTTTGCCTCTGTTTCAAAAATACTCCTATAATTTCAAAATATTTGAAAGATGACGGTTAACGTGAAAGGTTTTAGCAATTAAGGATTAAACGTCATTTGTGCTGTTAAAAAAAAATTATTGTAAATCTTCAAGAGCATATTGTAAATCTTTTGAAAGGTGAAAGGTATTTTTTAAACGAGAGTATAGCTTATACATACATACATATATATATTTTGTACAATTTAACATTCAAAATAAGACGATCTGCTTTTCTCTTTTTAAATTTTGAAAATATTCAAGTAAATTGATGTCAAATTTTTCATTGAATTTCGACCTGAAAATGAGGGTACCGAGGTCAAATCCACTCCAGGACGGCCATGGCAGTTTAGCTCAATCTTATTCAGCTACACTTGTCAAATTATATTTATATAATTCATCTTTATTTTGTTTTAATCCTTAAACTTCTAAATATTTTAATTTAATTCATAAATCGCATTAAAGATCTATTTATCTTTACTATTAGTTTTGTATTAATCATTTAATATTTATTTGTTTTTTTCCCTTATGTCAGTTCAGGCAAAATACGAATTGGAGGGTGTAACTAAAATCATATCTTGTCCAAAAAAATTAAAATAAAATTCATATCTACCTGTTTAGCCCAAAATTAAGAACTATATGATATCTCAAACTCTATGATCAGCATCATATAAATGTCGAAGTTGAAATTTACCATCTAAACAACCAGCTCCTCACAGAAAAACAGCAGTTCATTTTCAAATTTCTGCAGAACAAATCTTTCTTGTGATGTTATAAGGTTGTTAACCACACATTTCTCCTTCGAAAACGGTTTCCTACCTGTTCGTCCAGCTCGATGAAGATAGTCGATGGCAGTTCGAGGCAGATCGAAGTTGTAAATATGAGTAGTTTCGGGCAAGTCAATCCCCCTGGCCACTATGTCAGTTGCTACAATAAGATAACCTCCCCCTTGTCTCACTTCCTGCCATCCAAAATAATCAAGAATGCAAATACAAACATGTTGGCAAGTCAGTCTCGACATAAAACCCGAGTCAAGAACTTCTATAGTCTAACATTCTCGTGATGCCTGCCCCCAATAGACCATTGTTAGGCAGGAAATAGTGGATGAAAAGTGATGATAGAATATCATATCAGATACCACATTCCAGTTATCTGATTCTGCAGCAGTTTCAACACCCCCCCTTCATTATGGTTGCCAAAGAGTACATAAAAAAACTTACCGATAGGGAAGATGCTCGTAAATTGTAATTCATGTCTTCCTCGAGAAGGATGATATCCGAATAGCCACCATATGAAGTCTTCAAGAAATCAATCATCATAGTTGTTGGTGAAATATTTCCAGCCTTCTTTGACTTCTCTGACTACAAATAAGAGTTGAGAGTAAATTGAGCAGAGAAGATGCACCAATGTTAGATAATCAGAGGAGTTACATATCTTTAATACTGATGCAACTAATTGAAAGGAGTTGGCTTCCAGCTTTCTAATACTGACATTCCCTACAATCCAGAGTTCCAAACCTTAAAATATAAACTAAATGGGCTTCGATATGCAGCCATGGCTGCACTTGCATATTATCCAATTTCATAGTCAAATGATATCTAGAACCCATTACTGAAACAACCAATAAGAAAAGGCACTTTCTGGATTTTGATCAAGTAGAGCATTCAATCCATTGATAATCTGTAACAAATATGATGTGACTTCCTTGTATAGCTCGATTTTCTTACAAAAAGTGAACTGTGAAGAATCTTAAAGCTTCGAGTGAAAATAGATGTTAGAGTATGCTCCCTATTTAATTGGAAAATTTTCAATTTTAAAAAAAAATCGACACAAACCTGCTCACTGACAAAAATGATTGCAGATTGAGGTTCATCTGTTAGTAATAAGGAACGGAAGGTTTGGTGCTTTTTGTTCTTGTCACATATCTGTCAAGCAAATGATAATATCTAAGCAAGGTACATCAAAATGGTTAAAATAAGGGAAATTATTTGTCCAGCAAGATCCATGGGTATAATAACATCTAAAAGAACCATAAAATTTCTTACCACAAATCTATGGAGTAGACATGATGGCATGGGCTGCATTGGGTTAACATGAATATGCATCACATCATTCTGCCAGATAAAGAGAGGGAAAGTTCTAACAGAAATTAATGGCTAAATTGCATCACATATTGGAGATAACAAAAAAGAGCTGCATATACACACTTTGGTCCACTTCTGCTGTATACAATCATGAAGAAAATGCCTATGCTGGGGAATCGATGCACTTGCAAAGATGGTCTGACGATTACTGAATGAAGAATATGATGTCAAGAGTTTTTTAAGAGAACTAACTTGCTTTGAGGAACTAAACATGAAATCAACCTGACAAAAAAATGACAATAAGATGTCAATTCCTTGAAATAACATATTAGAACATGCTTACTTCAGCATTTTTATAATGTTTCTTATAATAATATTTTGGATAATGACCAAGCATCTGAAACGCACACATGAATGCTTGCCACCAAGTTTTATGGTGGCTACGAGTATATTGCTGTGCAAAGTTCCAAATTAGTGATTATTCCTGAAAGCTATGGCCAAAAACCTTTCTGAAATAAAATTTCTTTGCAAGTACCTCATCAATTACCAGCACATTCAGTGAACCAAGATCCAGAAATTGCCTCTCTACCATTTGGCACAAGCTCCCAACTGTTGCCACCAGTATTGCAGGGGGATCTGCCTGAAAGAAGTTTATACCTCAAACTTTTCATCTAGACGGAAACTTCTCTTCCATTAATCACAACCCAAGAGAGTGAAGAGATGAAAAAAAAAAAAGATTGATAACAATAAAGTCAAGTTGGGAACTGAAGGAATTCAAACTGAACGAGGCAATAACTTTACAACTAGAAGCCACAACAACGTATATTGACAACTTCACAAAAAAGCCATTGACTCTACTTAAGAAAATGAACTCATCCACCAGCGATTTAGTATCAATTATGCATAAAGCAAAGAAAAATGCAGCACCTTTAACCAATTCTTGTGTCTCCTCAACAAGCCTCCATCTAAAAGAGCCATGACAACATAAGATTTCTGCCCAAGTTCGGACGCTGCAGACTTTGCGGCCAACATCCTAGCAACTTTTGTAACCTGGCTTCCATTCCACGAGGTCATAAACAACATTACCATCACACTGTAAGAAGCGTCAAGAATAAGCCCCCACATTTTTGTCACTGGTCAAGTGAAATGTTTCTCAAAGCAACACAATTCAGATATCAAAACTACAGAATGAGAGCAAAATACAAACGAAAGCAGAAAATACATGAAGTTAAAGCATAATTTGGAAAATACAGAGCCCAATCTTACTTGCATTCCAAGCTCCCGAGTGGGCACTACAACCAGAGCTTGCACAGCTGATCTCTGAGCGTTTATGATGGAGAATATCAATAGCAAATATGTCAGCGTCTTCCCAGAACCTGTCTAGAAGGATAAGAGTAAGAAAGTAAAGAACTGAACAGAGTTGAATAATGCCAGTACAAAAAAAAGACAATCAGGATTCAAAATAGCCCATTCTCCGGAAAGATTACTTCATATGAATATAGATTTTACCTGCGCATGAAGCACGCAATCCCGGCCAGAAAACAGAACTGGAAGAGCTTGCCTCTGCACATCAGTTGGGGCAACAAATCCAATCTCCTCAGCCCTGCATCAATTTAGAGAAGAAAATTGAGGGAAAGGAAAACACCCCAGATGAAATATTATTAGGAATGATAGATTAAGAGGGAACCCTAACGATTTGATAGAATGTGGCGACTTGCCTGCGCAGTATATGGTCGGGAACATGTCCATCGCAGATCTCGCGGAGAGTGGAGGCCTCGAAATTAGAATCGACGACATTATTTAAAGAAAATGAGCTCGGAAAGGCTAGCGGAGGCCTGAATTTAGACGTGGAGCATAGGGGTCCATTGCTATTGTTGAATTTGGGTAACTGGACGGAGAAATAAACTGGATGGAGCCTTTCAGATGAGAGGAGGAGCCAGGGGGGAGGAGATTTGGTAGTGGGAAGAAGGGTTGCAGCCATTGGAATGTGGTTAGCCGAAGCGGTTGCTTTGGCCGGCGCGACGGGCTGTTATGGAGTGTTCGCCGGCGCCGGTTCTATGGCAACCGGTGGCTTGCTTGAAACGATAACGTACACGGTTTTTTTTTTCTTTCCCTCTCTCGTTGGGTCGATAATATATGTTTTAAGTTTTAACAAATTCAGGAAATCATAACAGGTCAACTCCCCAAAATCAACCTGCACATGGTCCCACATGTCAGTTATGATGCTGGAGGATATAGTTGAATAGTAATTGACATATATCTTAAATCAAAAGAGGTTGTGAGTTCAATCATAATTAATTTATAATTATGTTGACAAATTGAAAGTTTATAATTATTAGAAAATTTTTAAAGTATATAGTTTAGATAAACATAACTTTTAAAATTTAGGGACCCATTAAAAATATTTTTAAATTGTAACTCTAAAAGTTATAACCAAATTTGTAATCAAAATTTTTATTTAAAATACTTGTAAATAGAGACAATCGTTTGACCCTACTACACATAAAATTAATTGGTAAAGTGGATGATTATTATGGGATTTGAATTCATTCTATCTCAATTTACCATAATCCTAAACCAGTGAGCCACTCATGGTTCAAATTTTGAATCATAAACTCAAATAAGTCAATAAATTACTATTTTTAATAGTTTTGACAATTTGATAATGATTTCGTTTTTTCTTTTTTACTTTTGAAATGTTCATTTTACTCATTTGGTTTTTATAATATTGCAAAATGTGGAAGTGAACTTCAAGGTTCAAACGTTGGACTTAAAAAAGAGATTGATAACAACTTGATTTTAAGTATTTTTTGATGACATAACATTTTTTTAGTACAACACGTGGAGGTGGGGATCGAACTCACAACCTCTTGATTGGTGAATATGTGAATTCATTGTTTTATCCTTCCAAATATTATTTCCCTAATTTACTTGGTTTGATTTCCTAGAGCATAGGGTAGTGAACTTTCCACTTGTTTCATACATATATTTTTTCAAAATAAACATTTTCAATTTGTTTTTCTTTGCAAAACTATGATTAGATAAACGGTAAACATTGAAAAGATGTAAAAATATATAAAAAATTCTCATCTAAAAAAATATATCATCGCATCCTCTCTATATATATTTTAGTTCAATAATTTTAATGGTGTGGATCCAACCATCGATATTAAGAATGGTAATATGTATCTAAATAATATGCTGGAACGGATACATTTTATCCCATTTTATTACTTTTGTGATTAGTATTTCTTATTTATGAAGTTGCTAATTAATTTATTAATATAAAATACTCACTCCCCTCCCTACCATTTTTGCACTAGTCATGGTTGCTAATGAGATTGTTCAATAATGACTAGCAAACAATTGTTGATATATTTTGAAATTTAATTGAAGGTAAAATAAAATTCAAATTTTAAACCTTAAGAAATAGACTCAACAAACGGATTTTCAGTATCCACCATGCAAGGAGGTGGAGATGTTAGATATCCATAAATTAATTAAATTTACCCAACATATCAACTTAAGTCATTGAGTTATGCTCATGTAGCAACACGATACAAGATAGGAACAATGTTTAATTAGTCAATACTAAGAAGAATAATACTTATATGATGACTTGACAATATTTATTTTTTATAGAGACTACTATTAAAGTTAAGATATACGATTTGTACTTTATTTTAGTACAACATATGAGGATGAGGAATCGAACTCACTACCTCTTAGTTGATATATTCTAATTATGACTGAGCTATACTCACTATGCAATACACGGTTTGTACTTAAATACCCTTTTTATCAAATTAAATATAAATAACACATACCTTCTATCTAACAAAGTTTTAAATAATATATACCTCTTTTTTTTCTTTATCGGATAATTGTGAGTTCCAATACTTAAAATTGACTATTAGTTTTGCTTTAATATATAACTTGTTTTGTTATCATCTAACTACAGGAATGTTTTTCTATTTTTTTTTTTTTGAATGAAATTTGTAATATATGAATGTTGATCTTTATGCCATCAAATTATTACTACTAAATTTTCAATACTAAAAATTTATAATGGATGAAATGAGAATTTGAACCATCACCTGGTTGAAAGTTACTTTATGAACCTTGTCATTAAATTATTAATTATACGTGCACTTTTTTTTAAAGTTATATACTTATATTATTAAATAATAAAATATGTTGAGCAATTTACAGGGTTCAACCAGCAATCGATATTTCACGATCAAGGTGCTACGTTGGATTGTCGCCATCATCAGTCTCTAACCTTGCTTCTTTTAATTAGTGACTCATATTTTAGTTATAAGGAATAAAGGTAGAATTCACTAAATTTTGGTGGACTAATATGAACTCGTGTAAATTTGAAGGACGGTAATTTATATTTTCATCATTAAATAAATATTTCTTATTTTTAGTTCAACCAAGAGAAAAATGATTGAAGAAATCATGGTAATATTATCATTAAATATATCAAATATGTAAGAGATAAATTATAAAATATTTTTTAAATTTGCATCAATAATAATTATTGGAACATTAAATATTAAACAAATAAGAGATAAACTAAAAATATAAGCATTTTTTTTAAAATATTCAACGGTAAATTTTTCAATAGTGTCACAACAAATTTGGTCATAACCGACCAGTAGTAAGTATTTTTGTTGAGTCGAGTCCCCTAGAATAGAATGATAAAGGTTGAGAAACACAATTGACCAGAACGATTAAGATGTTGCTACTGTTGACATGTAAACCATTCAAGATGGTCTTTGGAACTTATTCGGGCTACAATAACTATCAAACAACTATCCATTTTATTACTGAAACCATACACACTCATCTAAGTATAGCTCTAACTTGTATATATCTTGGACCAATAATTTTATATTTTAACATGTGAGTTGGCGCCAAAGCTAGTCAACCATAATTGAATTCCCTCATCACCGTAGTAAAAAAAAAAAAGTGAGTTCGAAATTCAGCCTCACATGATTTGCAATTAAAAAAAATGGAGTTACATAAATCTTGGAGGAGCAAGAGTTGGCATGTGAATACAGTTGAATGGAATGGACCATTAAGCATATTCTCGGATTCGTAATTCGATATCAAACGAGAGGGCTCAAATGTTAATGGAGTTTCCAATTCCATGGCGCGCGCCAATCAGAATTGGTGGTTGAAATTCCTCAAGGATAACATGCCCCAATCCTCTCATGCACTCCATGTGAGTGATCCTCGCTCAATACGTACCTTTCTTCATCTTCCACCTCCATAACCTTTTTAGATTTTCCAACTCTGTTC